AAAAAAAGAGAGTGAATATAGGAAGTAAAATTAATGTATATGTATGTATGTATATATGTATATATATATATGCGCGTGTGTCAATGATTTTTAAATTGAAGTTTATGAAGGAAATTTGGGCGGTGAACCGACTATTGCTGGTGAAGTTGTGCCAGGTGATGTTGTAAGTACAGAACTACGTCGTGGACGATCAGCATCTTCCATAGACATTGCACGAGACAAACGTCCTAAACCAACTAAACCTGCTTCCATTGGTAAACCAGATACTAAATAAAGAAGAAAAGCTTGAATATATGTTTATAAAAACTAATAAATATATACATACATAAACCAATGCCTTGTAAAAAGAATTGCATTGATTTAGCCAAAACATCAGGCTAATTGAAAAGAAGAATTTAATAAAGAAATTTAATTTAATTTATCATCTTACTGCTTCACCAAGAACATCACCAACATTATCAGCGATAAGTAATGGTGAATTAACCATTTTTTGAGGATTATTACGTGCTTCACGAAGTCGTTCATAAAATTTTTCAGTTGTATTTATTACAGAACTTTTCTTTCCAACAGCTACAAGACAATCAACTCTATAAATAAAAAATTAATCCTTATATCATAGTATTCAAAATATTGTAAAATCGATTTGATATAGTAGATAAAATTTATAGAACCTCTCAGATATGTTAGTTTAACGGGAACTCTGATACTCTCTGTCCTATTTGTAAAATATATTTAATATTATCTATTTCAATCCATAAAATTATAAACTGCATATAGTTGTTTCTATGTAAATATCATTTAGATTGAATAACTTACGTTAATTTGTCTAATTTATCAACAAGATTAGTTCGACTAGAAATATAAAAGAAAATTTTAACAAATCAAACTAATTTTTCTTTTTCTTACTTCAAAAAAGCATCCATAAAAAGTGCCAAATTTTTAGCTGTTCGTTTTTGGTAAAGTTTTTCCGAAAATTCACGAATATTTGCTTCAAGTAATTGTGAATCACCATAACCCTAGATAATAAATAGAATTCTTTTCTTTATTTCTTTTCTATAACATCGAAAGAGTAACGTATTAAATAACATTCATGCAGCCAATGTGAAACATGTTAGTATTGTAAAGAAAAATTGTAAAAACCTAATTAAATACCTTTGTACTTTTTGAATGTGTCGAAAGCATAGTTTTCTGCAAAATTTGATCTCATATACATATTCATTCAGGCATACAAAATAATGACAATAATGCAAAAAGAAAAGAGAAGAATAGGGACATGGTAAACTTCTCATGCTAAGGATAAAAATATTCTTTTCGAAATCAAATAATAAATCACACCTTGTTCTTGTTCGGATCGTCGCTAGACTATAAAAGCAAATAAAATCTAATTGAATTATCTAGGCATACTTTAAATGACATATTTCAATCGATCTTCTATATATAACTGAGGGAAATGCAAGTATTTGACAAACAATAGAGAATATCGAATAACTATTAAATAATTCATACAAAAAATCACACTTACTTTTGCTGCATCCTAAAATAAATAAACAAATAAAAATAGATTTAATTTTTAATAAACTAAATAACATACACGTCCAAATCGATGCCAAATAAGATAAGCTTCAGCATCAGGATTCATTCCTTTATGGATTAATTTCCAGTTATTAAGTTTATCCTTCATCATTTCCATAAAACCAGCAGTTGTACCAGTTGGATGTACAAGCACGAGACCATGTACACGTGATGGATATTCAATAGCAAAACGAGAAGCAATATTAGCTCCTGCACCTTCACCAAATATAACTGTTTGTGGAATATTTAAGTGATCAACAATATTTATTAATTCACTAGCTATATCATCTAACGATGGATATTTCCTTTAAAGACAAAAAAATAATAAAATGTTTTTTTTATTTTTCATTTTCTATTAAATTTTTACTCGATAGTTAAAGGAGTAGCATCATCTTCTTGACCGGGTAAATCAACATGTACCCAAACAATTCGTTGTTTACTATAAAAATAAGATCTAATTCAATTCTTACAATTTTCAAAAAAAAATACATACAGAGCACGCATTTCAGGTTGAGAAACAAATTCAGTAAAAACTGAATCTAAATTTTTCAAAAATAGAAATTAATTTTTTTGTAGAAAATTCAATCTAATTATTCACTTACGACTACAACCAATATCATGGATAGTCATAACATAACATTTCGAATTGGTACCAGTATCATCCTAATCAAAAAGTATTTATTAACAACTTTTACACGCCATTAATTCTTACTTGGACCCATGCAGTATAATCAAGGCCAAGTTTATTTGATCGAATGACATATTTCTAAATAAAATATTCATATAAATATTTTGAAATTGAAATAGAATTAAATTAGTTAGTTAATATGAGCAGCAAAGTCTTTTTTTATCTAAACTTACGGGATGACCTTGAGCCTATATTTGAAATAAATGAAAACATTTAATTCATAAAACAAATTATATGTATATATTTATATCCATCCTTGTAATTCATTTTATTGCACAGTTCATTGAAAAATCTAGATTAAGTTTATTCTTTTTCTTATCTGTTTTGTACATGATCTTAGTCTTAACCAGTTTTTTTGCCTTCTTGTCCAAGGACGAATGTAAATATGAGAGAATGGAGAAAGAATTGGCAAATTACATTTCTAAAGCTTAGATTTAATGCGACAAAAAAAATGTAGGCTAATATTTGTATATACAGACGACGACTACGACATATGTTTGTTGTTTATCACCTAAAAATATCAGTGATATGCTTTCTTTGTCTGTTCTTTATTTACTACAATGTCTAATGTTAGGTACACTATGGGATATGTTATGAAAGTTATATATATATGTGCTTATAGCACAATGTAAAGTGTTCATTTATACTAACTATATATATATATACTTTTAAATGTAATCAAGCGTAGAAATAAAAAAAGAAAATAATATTGAATGGTCTTAATAACTCACTTGATTTTGTTGAACTGTTCCAAGTTTTTCAAGTAATCCTGCTCGTTCTGTTTCATCCATTTTGTTTTATTATAAAATTGAAATCTGAGTTCAAATATTTCTTTCTTATATAAAATAATAGATCAAATTAATAGTCTCTTTTTTTTCTTTTCTTAATCCAAACTATATGTATTTGTTAACTTAAGCGAAAAGAAATGAGCGAACACACACACACACATACAGATATATATATAAATATACATGTAGATGGAGAGAAGCAGAGAGAGAGAGAGAGAGAAATATATATATATATGAATGCAAGTTAACGAACGTTTGTGATTAAAATCGGGCTCTTATATTATAGAAAGAAAAAAAAAGGAAAAAAAAGAGCAGGTTCATAGTGATGACAGCGATAAACGACGCAACAAATAATGACGGGAAAGAAAATAATGAGAAAAGGCAAAAAGAACATAGATTTTAAGCAATGACTACGTAATATAACATAATATTAATCCATATCATAACCATATGTACACTCAAAGGTTCTTAAGTCCATCTCCGAGATTTCTAATTCTGCGTCAAATTAAATAATAAAATGTAAGCAGGCACATATATATATATAGATCAAAAAAAGACGCAAGAAGTGCGGCCTCGATAGTAGTAACTTATTGGAATTCGTTCCGCTGACTCAGTACACAATGTCATTTTTTTTCTTATGTTCTTGCTTCAGAGAACTAAAGAACAGAACGGTAAAAGAAAATGAGGAAAGAAAAATCCTAACATCCTTCTCCAAGTTTAATATTCTCTTCTATCCTACTCTCATTTTTTTTTCTTCTTCTTCTTTTTTTTCTTCTTCTTCTTTTTTTTGTCCTTCTCTATTATTGCCTGTTTCTTAGTACTATACAACGAGAATAGTGCTGGTTGTGGTTGTTGACGAGGTCGTCATTTGCTTGCTCGTTCGAGCCCAAATGACATCCGGTATCGGCGAGAATATCTATACAATGTGAAAAAAGCAAGAAAACGAAGAATCTGATGATACGCAATAGCATAAAAAGAAAAGTCGATGATACAATTATGAGTAACACATGTGCCGGCAAGAGTGTCTAATTGTCGAGAAGAATCGATGTCTGTAAATGATAGTTTTTTTTAGACATAATATCCCTATTCTATTCGTTGTTTTAATTTGCAATCAATAAAAATTGATTATTATTATTGAGAAGAAGAAGAAAAAAAAACAAAGTTATTAGCTATATTTAACTATTCGAACAAAATAGAAACAAGAGCAAAAAAAGAGAGCTTAGAGAGATATTAATTATCGCACAGATATAAACAAAACGAAGGTTGTCTTGTGTTAATACATATGTTTATATGTCGAGAATTAATCGATATTGTGTATTTTACGTGTAGGACAATTCTATTTTTAAGATAAAGTCAAACATAAAAAAAAAAGAACTCATATAAATATATACAATAAAAGAACGGAAATTATCCTTGACAAAACTATCAACTTGATAATCTATTATAAAATTTTAAGTTAATTTTTAAAGATGACTTTAAAGATACAGTTTTAATGAAAACTAAAGAAACCTTCATATATCATTTATTCAAATATTTATGCTTACACATGATTTAATTTCTTTGTTCATGACATCAATTTCTGCTACACTTATTCAACTGGATAAAATGCTCTCAGTCTTATTATTTTTTTTTCTATTTATATTTTAAGTATAGCATGAATTCTAGTTAAGTATTAAAGAATTTTAGTAATATTTAAGAAGTATATGGTTTAATAGAAAGTTTAAAAATAGTCGTCTTTCAGTCGTCTAAATAATTTCTTATAAACTGAATAAAGATTGAGTGCCATCTGTCGAGAACATACATAAACTGTATATATGGAAATAATTACATCGAGGTGTTTACTGTAAGAAAAATCCTCGAAAATTGACCTCAATTTGTTATCAAATAGAAACGTAAGTTAATTATAACATAAATTATTCAATGTTAACCTCGATATAGTTAACGATTATAATAAAATAAATATTAAAAAGGAATAAGTTTACAGCTTTATATATATATGTTACTTAGTGGACATTTTTTTATCAAAATATTAAATAAATATGTAAATCATTTAAACAAGAAAACAGAATTTTTTTTCTCGTTTGTCTATTGATTTTTTAACTCATAGAAAAAGTTTTTATCATTACAGCAATTCTCTTAATAAGAAAAAAAAACTTCCTTATCTATCATCGTTTATTTCCGATAACAAATATATGAAGTCCAAAAGAGAACTCATATCTAAATATATATACATATATCCGCATAATTTATTTTAGTATCTCTACTATTATTTATTCATCAGTCTACAACCACATAAACATCTTTTTACTCAATAAGTTATTTTGACATAAGATAAACATTAAATTACCTGTTCTGAAGCAGGACCACTCATTTGAAACCGAAGCATTTTTTCTCGAATCGGTGCATCCATTTTTTGCTTTGTCGTTAATATATTTTTACTTGGATATAAGAGTAAATGTAAATTTCATGGATTTTTGCTGGTATATTATGAATAATATGCTTATTCTGTTGTTTTAGTTAGTATCATCTGAAAAATATATATATATATATGTATAAATAGGAAAATCTTTTATCAGTCATTCCTTATTAGTAGACACGCACTAAAGATAGTCGATAAGAGCAAAACCAATACAGCACGCACGGTGACATAATATATATTGATTCTCTGTCACAAGCTGCTACTTTTCTCTCTTCTTCACTCTACTTCGAACATTCTATGATTGATGGACAGATGGTAATGTGGAATTGCCACTATTACCATCACAAAGGAGAAAGACAGACAACAGGAAAACGGAAAAATAATGCAAAAAAAAACTTCAATTCTATACTTATTCTCTTAATCTATTACTAGCATTCGTCGCCATCGACAATCTCAAGAAAAGGCGCTGATGTCTCATTTTTACTAAACTAATGCCAATTAGTAACGCGCGTGTGTACTAGGAAAGTAACACACCGAAATATAATACAGAAAAGAAGGATGGTTCAGACATAAGCCGGAATTTTACATTCAGTTAGTTAGTTTTTTAAGATGCGCTAGAAACTATAGAGAGAATATACGAATGTATTCAAAATGGAAATGTTATACTAAAGAGGAACTTTAAAAGTAATATACAATAACTTATTTCACAATGAGTATACCACTTATCTTCTTCTTCTATAATAGAATAACTAATTTATGTACTAACTATGACTTTATATACACGAGACAAGAAAATAATCAACTATTTATAATATATTCACTCGTTTTAATTGAGAATATATTTTTTATTTAGTTTAATGAATTTTTATAGAACAATTGACTGATTAACTGACTCAATAGTTTAATGCAACTAAGCCTCTAGTATTTACTGAAGTTAAATATAGCTATTGTTGAATGTGACAAAAAGATGGATCATAGTCACGCTTTATAGTAAAGAGTAGAAACGGATAGAAAATTGGAAGAAAATAGAAATAGAGTTTTCATCTCTCGAGAAATGAAATGAGAACAATACTGAATGTAATTGGATGTCTGCATAGCATCGGTTTCGATATAATTTTCTGTATATAGAACAGGCATAAGAAAACCGACTGATATCTTTCCATGCACAGACGAGTAGGACTCGATTATAACGATGCAATAGTAATGCTAAGTAACTACCGATAATAAAAAGCAAGCGAAGAAAAATATAATGCAGGAACTTCTATCAAGTTGCTATTTCGAATAAGGGAGAGAGAGAGGGAAAAAAACGAGAGAAAAAAATAGAAGCAAAAAAAAATCGAGAAATATATAGAAGAACATCCGACGACAAGAATAAAGCATCTATCATTGTTATCAATTTGTCTCAGTGGTTGCTTTCACTGCTATATAACGAGATGTTCGTTCTCGTACAAATCGATAACATGTTCTATTTAGAAATAAAGTTGAGTAAACTGATCATGACCAATATATAAAAGATTTTGCTGTCATGATCATTAAACGAATAGAGAGAAAAAATCGATAATAATAATGAACAACGATACTATAGTAATAGTAACGAGAATGATGAAATTATTAGAAGTAGATAGCCTAAAGATATAATATAATGTTGATAGGCCATTATGATCGATAGTATCTCTTAGTAGACTCTCAACAATGATAAAATTAATTTCAAAAAAAATTGAACATATATTATTCATCGTTCAGGTTGCTATTTTTTTCCCAATTGCTTTTTATCGTATATGATTTATCTATAATCCCTCGAATCTATCATTCACGATCAATTAAATCAATCAAAATATTTATTAATCATATCTAGAAGATCTAGGTAACTCGAATATCTTGTCATATAAATTTTATCTTAAATTAATACAATCTGACATTGTTATTGATTTTTAGTAGTTATGATAGAAAATTTAATACATAAAAGATATAATTTATAGAATCTTTTTCTTTTCATTCTCTCTCTCGAGAGATTCGCACACACATCAGAATCAGACAATAATTTTCCATATAATCTTTTGCCGCTTGATCTTTCATAAATCTTAGCTTATGGAAAAAGAACTCGTATTGTAGAATTATTTTCGACCTTATTTCATGTCAATAAAAAAGAACTTATCGATCGATCAATGTGCGTGTCGATATTGTTACTATCGTTTTATTCGATTATTGATTGTATTAACTAATTTAATCTTTAACATAAAACTCAAAATAAAGAAAACTTTATAGAAAATATTCCTTTTTATTATGCACTAAACAAAAACAAAATAAGATTATGATAATAATTCATATTGTTTTTCGCAGATTAATATATATATTTACTAGTTAGAATCAGATATATGGAAATTTTTTTATCATCAAACATGAAACTTCTTATAAGTGCAGGAAAAAACGTGCTATGAGTGGTCCTATATAGAAAATAATGCTTTTCATTATAATAAAGAATAGTTCAAGAGTAAATGATTTAGTTATTTCAGGAAAAAAGATACGTGTTTAAAAAGCATCTTGAATGCACATTAATTTAGCCTATATTTTTATAAGAACAATGTCCTTTGCGTGTCATCTAATTTATTACCGTTCAGGCTGTAAATTATACCAGCGCATTTAACAAAAAAATGTAACAATTAGAAAGAGACTATAATATTAAAAAGAAAAAGAAAAATGAAGGTGTCAAATAAATATAATATAACGTAGTCATATGTCATAGAAGTTCACCGCTATCAAATTTTTTATAGGATAACGTAAGAGATTATTATAATATATTTGAATAGTTTTTTTTTCTAGACATAATTATATCGATGTTTTCAGTATGTAAATGTCTAAGGAATCAATATCTATGTAAAAATAAGATACTGGAATTCTATAATTGGAATAGAAGATAAATCATGTCTTTAGCAACATAAACCTAAGTATAGTCAATCTATGTTAATAGTATTCTTATCAGATCAAAATGCACATTCATTTTATATTATTCCCTATCCTTATTTTATGCAAAATAGAATATATTTCATTAATATAATGTATGTTGTGTGTAAATAAAATATATCGATTTTAATATTCTATTAAGAATAGTTTTGTTTCAAAGGATATCGTATGTTTATATCTGGAAACTTATTCAATTCTATGAGACGTTTAGGTTTTATGCTACGATGTATAAAATAAGTGTTTTCTAATTATCAATTAATTCTGTTTTAAATTGTCAGAAAAGCTTTTCAATATACATTTTGTGTGAATATTTGTAAGGTCAATGAATAAAATGAGAACTATCATACTTTAATTTTCCTTTTATAATTAAGTGAACTGTTAATGATCTGATTAATGTGTGAATATTGTGTGTTCTCGCGCTTAAAAATCAATTTTTTCTGCATTCATGAATATATTTCTCTGAAGATAAAAGTATTCATTGTATTATTTATCATTTGTGATCCAGTATATATGCAAAACTAGTATGAAAATATTTTTTTAAATAGTTAGTCGTGCATTCTCTTTTTTTTTATATCTTTTTATTCCCACTTATATAACATTTCCGTTTTCAAAACTCATATTGACAGTCATGATTAGAAGTCTACTCGATGGATTGATGAGTAATAATGCTCACTAGGAACTTTTTTTTTCTTCTGAGTGCTTCTCAAGTCAAGAAGGAAAAAAAACGGTAATAGAAAACATTTTAATAAGAAATTACTCAAAGAAACTGATTTAGCATGCTTAATATAAATAAATGCAAGTAGATAGCTTAATTCCTGAATGATAATACGACTAATTTACTATAATATTGACGTCGATCATTGATCAGTTCTTAGAATTAATTAGCTTTCGGTTCAAATAGTAGAATGCGTCAGCCTTTAGATCGTGAATCACAGTTGCACTTATTTCCTGCTTTTTATTATTGCTAGCTAAAATGAATTGTTAATTGTATGATTAGCTGGACTAACCTTTAAATAATCTAATGTTTTTGCATATCTCATGACCTTTTGACTTCCGCTTTTTTCATATGACTGTGTCTTTAAAAGAAAAAATGATCTTAGAGTTCTGTGGGAACTATTACCAATTAAGGTTATCAACACAAATAGAATTGTTCTAAAATTCATTCTAAGCTATTACTAGAAAACGAATGATTACATGATGAATACAGCAATAACAAATCATACATTATTTCAAGATCAGCCTATTGATACTTTTTAAACTAGTATGTTACTTGTTCTCTGTCTCATCTATGATTTGAAAAGTAATTTAAAGAAATGATATATTCAAACACAGACCTAAAACGATTTTGGTGCCTAATATATAACATCTGATAAGAAATTGATCATTTATAACATTGTGATATTCTGATCTCGTGATCTACAATACTACTCAGAAATAACAAAACTATAAGTGATTTTTTAATTTCTTCTTCATAGATGATCGATTAATCTATATCACTTATACAAAGTGCTATAAATCAAAATATACTATGCGATCAATAGTTAATTGCCATAGAATTTATATGCAGCTATCTTTCATGCTTAATATTGATCTTCGTCATAGTTAACTTAGTATAAAATACGGTTTAAATAGATTGATCTGATTGATAGATTCATGTGTATACATTTTGCACATATAAACTTGTATTGAATAGAATATTTAACGATCATATAGACAGATTAAATTGATCAAGGATATTCCAATCTGCATTCTCAGATATTTTGTGCATGAAAAGAAACATGAACAAATTGTAATGGATCTATTGCTGAAACGAGACACAAACAACTAAAATCTTCTATCTAACAAAGTTAGTTGTTAATAGTATTAAAAAGTGTCTTTTTTTGCTACATATATATTTTATTCTATTTCGTGAATTCTCTAGTACAATATATATATATATACACATACACATACAGATAAGAAAAGAAAATCTATCAGACAAGAAACGATCATATTTCGGGATAAATGAACAATTAAGATTTTGAACAAAT